CTAATGGTGTAAATTAATGTATGACTTGGGTTGCAGCTGCTCGGATAAACATGCAGCAATAGCGCAGTACATAGCGGAACATCTAAACAGCTTTTTTGCATGCAACAGCTCCTGGAGCACACTGCCGGAGCGCAATCGCGTGCAGTGTGAACGCTCTGATCCGTTAACATGGGTGCGGAAAAAATACGCACCACAGACAAAGTGTGTGAACCTGGCGTTACGTTTGTATGCCCGCCCGGTCTGTTCTGTTCTCGTGCTCCATTTAGGCGCGCTGCATTCTGATTGGTTCGGATAGCATACTGCGGGAGGTCGGGGGCGCGGAAAATCGTGCTATAAAGCGATTTAGAAATTGCGCACGCTCAAATCATGATTTTATGACGATTTCGATTAATCGCACAGCCCTAGACAGAACCTTTGTTTTGGTGAACTGTTCCTTTAAGAACCAAGAGTAGCACGATTTGCCCGTACTGCTATAGACTGCTGCTTACAAAGAAACTATAAAAAACATTCTTGTCCATTGACGGGACTGGACTAACCTTGAGTGCCTGTATGACAAAGTCTCTGGCCTCCAGCTCTCCCTCAAGAACACTGAAGAGCAGCAGCACATCTCTCTTACTCAGAGCCTCCACATAAAGCTTTGACTCCTGAAAAGACAACAAAACGGAGCAAATGAGTGGGCTACTAAATACGAAATATAAATGCAATCAGAGTGTTTTCAGCAAATGATACACTGCATTAGGACAAAGTCTATACTAAATTGTTTGGAAAACATGCAGTCAGGCAACAATCTCCATGTCCACAAATCTTCTCCCTTCCTTTCCATCTGCAGACCAAATGACTGCAGTCTGCTGTATTCTCCATGTGCTCGTTTTGATTATACAGTGTGCTGCTTATCCAGTGCATTATATATTAAAATAAACAATACAAACCCACAGTAAGTAGATGAACTACAGGCCTATATATTTTGTTTTAGGTTTCCAGTATGGATGCAGCATGCAAATATTTTCAGTTACCGATGCAATTAAACATCAATACCACTTGCAGGTATATTTGACACACACACACACACACACACACACACACACACACACACACTCAGTATCATTCAAAAGTTTCGAGTCAGTACAATTTTTTAAGGTTTTTGGCAGCAGCATTTAATGCATCTTTGCTGAATAAAAAGTGTTCATTTCTTTAAACAAAATCTTACTGACCCCAAATTTTTAAATTGTAGTGTAATTATTTTAGAAGTACATTTTAGGTTACATTACAAATCACTTTTTATATTGTATATTTATTGTATATAGCAAAAAAAAATTTTTTGCCATGTTCTTAGCATCAACAAACTATGAAAGCCCGTTTCCACCACTGAATAAAAAATCAAATAGGCAATTGCAACTTTTTATCTCACAATTCTGACTTTTTTGTCTCAGAATTGCATGATACAAACTTGCAATTCTGAGAAATAAAGTATATAATATATTTTATATTAATAGTTTATAGCTCATAGTTTTTTTTCTTAAAATTGCGAGTTTATAGCTCGCAATTCTGACTTTATAACATGCAACTGCGAGTTATGTCAGAATTGCGAGAATTTTTGTCAGAATTGGATTTTATAACTGGCAATTGCAAGTTTATATCTCACAATTCTGAGAAAAAAAAAGAAATGAAGTCAGAATTGCAAGATAAAAACTTTTGTGAGAAAAAAAGTCAGAATTGTGTATTTCTCATATTTCTGAATATATATCATGCAATTCTGTGAATAAAAAAAACTTTTTTTTTTTTTATTATTCAGTGGCGGAAACATAAACAGTCTTGCTTTGATAGTTGAAAAATTACATACCAATCGGGCCATGATTAAATGCATTTTTGTTTTATTCTTTCATAACTAAGTGCACTAAAATCAACAGACTGAATTAAACCAATCACAATTTTCAGTCTCTTTATCTTTGAGAGGTTTGTTTGCTGCCATTATTCTTCATCAAAAGCAATTTATTTTAAACCAGTCCTCCTGGAGCAATCAAAGGGTTAACAGGCTTGTTCAAGAACATAATGGCTATAGATCACAGCTGTGATCTCAGAAAAACTCCCATTCCCATGTTGTGTTTCTTTCTGTGCAGTTCACAGGAAAAGAAAAAAGCAGGGCATTTTTTCCATTTTACTCTTATGAGTCAAAGCATCTGTCACACATCAAAGCTAAAGCAGCATTCCACGACTTTTCTACTGATAGACAGCTAGAGAAAGAAACGTGTTGTTGGAAGACTGAAATTCCTTCCTGAGCTCTCGCTTCTAAATACTCAGTAATTGTGCATGGATAACCTTGAAAGTATCGAATTTCACTTTCCCATATAGCTTCGCACACCATAAATGCTTTGACCCTGCGCTGCAAGCTTCAACTGAAATAATCTTATGAAACTCAATCTAGATTTCTTCCTTCTGACCCTACTTTGCTTTTACAGTAATGGTGCTTCATGTCGAGATTTGTGTGGTTAGCCAAAGTTTCCACATCATGAAGTCACGAAGGAGAGTGTTACATAATATGCCAGAGACGGAAGACGTCCAGCTACTGTGCTCCAGCTGAAATTTGGAAGCTTGAAGCTGCCATAAATCGCATTACTGTACTTTAATTCTCCTTTTCATCTGTGTTGTGCAACCTTTAGTCAATCTGTGCTTGTAAATAGCCGTCACATGTCTTTTGATGTATTGTGCACCGATGGGAACGGCGTACTAGATCTGAGGCCGTGAGTATGCAAGAAAGCTTTCATGGTTTGTGGTTTATCCGTTCAAGCAGAGCTAATTTGAAGCGTGCTCCTAAGCAAAGCCATACTTTATAGACGCGCTAATTTCACAACTTCACTTTGCCTTTTATAAAACCCAAAGAAAATGATATCATGCATCAGTAAGTGCTTTCAACTAACTAATAGTTATATAGATCACATGTGAAAAATACAAAAGATACACTTGCTTTTTTTTAGCACGCGTGTGTCTCTTTACTAAAACTTGTGATTTAGAATGAAACATTATAGGAAAGGTGATAAAAAGAGTCTTAGAGATCATTATACATCTACAAAACCTTTCTTTCATGTGCACTTGAGGATTAGCCGATGGTGTTCTTCATGGTTGACTAATTTGGCATTTCCTTTTTAATGGTGCCCATGCCTTTCTGAATGAAAGGGTGCTCCACTATTCAACATCGGCCTGAATGCTTCTTAAATTACCCAGCATGTCTCCCTGGAGCTAGACTGAAGCAGTCAGTGTGTGAGTCCAAGCTCACCGGACATGTCAGAGGGTAATTAATTGAATCCTCAAGCTGCTTGTGAGCTACAAAACAGATGGCCCAATGTCAACTGCCTGTTGATGTGATCAGCTGTATAAAGACTCCATAAAGTGTCATATATTTCACTCTTTTAAACATTTAAGCAGTTAAAAATAATATTCCCATAGATTTTGTTTTATTGTTGTACATATTTCAAAATCCTATTTTTTTTTTCAGGTTCAAAGAAAAAAAACAAAAACATATATATATATATATTTTTTTTTTCCAAGTAGGATTTTGAAAATGTAACGAAAAAATCACGAGACCATTTTCTGAGACCTAATTTAGTTATAATATATTATAAAAGTATATAATACAATATATAATGTGATCAAAAGTTCCTTTTCTTTCGCTGACTCTCTGTGATGTTATGCATCCAAACCTAATGTACTGCCTATTTGGACTGCGTGCAGCGTTTTTGGGCTCATTTGAGTTTAATACATATATATAATAAACATAATATGAATGATGCCCAAAAGCGATGAACGCCTATTGAAGCACAAATGCTACCTTAGGTAGACAGCACACTACGTTTCGAGACACAGCATCTGGCTATCTGGAAAAAAATTACATTTATGCAGACCTCACAAGCATAAAGCAGTAAAATAAGACTGTTTACTTTAAAAAGCGATGTCTCGACTATTTGAAGTTTTCTTTTCCATATAACAAACTCTGCTGTCAGAACTGTTGGCTATTTAAAACGAATTAGCATTAAGTATTCAAACTATTCATACAATAATCCTAGGGAAAAATACTTTCTCTGCTCTCGTGCTCATTTTCGTCACCTTTCTTTCTTTAGAAGTATTAAGCGATTTGTTATAAAGACAACGTTCTCACCGTTGTGGGTGCCATGCCAGGTTTGATCAGTTTCCAATGTCGCTCATCGAGCAGCACCGTTGTTGAAGATCGGCTTCACCGAAGTTCATATGTGTGAAGGAACGCAAACAGACATCTTACGTAGCCAATAGGGTGAACGCGTTGTAGCGCAATAGACCAATTAGAAACGAGACGCAGGGACAGGAGGCGGGACGTAACGGGAAAAGTTTATAAAATGGGATTCTTTGTGCAGCGGTGAGCGTTGTAAAGCACTCATGGACTACCAAACGGGTCTTAATCACGACATATTTGGACGGGGTTCTTGTGAAAACAACGTTTTTATGGCATCAAGGTCGAGTTAGATAAATAACCACTCTAAAACTCATCCTAAATGTTGAAAATATGTAGACGGTTAGTTCAATTTGACGAAAGGCACGTGTGCCACCTGGTGGTGTCCTATTGTAATTCTGAAGCACACAAAATAAGAGCAGCCGCAAAAAGTATTTGGACATTCATGTCAGAGTTTTAAAGTACAGTAGTCAACATTTGAAGTGGATCACAAGTTGTCCTAAAACCAAAATGCGTTCTTGTCTCAGGACAACTTTGATGAACTTTTGTGATCCACTTCAAATGTTGACTACTGTAGACAAATGCCTTTAAAATATCCAACTGGGTGGCATTCCATTTAAAGAAAAATCAAGCAGAATGTTTCACAAAAACAAGTGTGTTAGGTTTTATATTGCAAAACTTTTTTTTATCTAATCTATGAAATGAAAAATGAAGAGTTGAATAAATAAAACAATAATAAATGAAGCCGTGTGAGGACAATGTGATATAGGGTCAACAAATTAAACAAGTTGACACAAAAATCCTTCATTAAAAATGTTATATTACAAATTTCATTCATCTGATAAATACAGGCATTTCGCAAAGCATTGTACAAAAAACAATTCATCATCACAATCCTTCCTAGCAACATACAATGACAAATCAGGGCACAATTAAAACCAAACATAGCGTCATTCCCAATATCCAAGACAAATACAATGTAATGTGCATCTCAAAACCAGAGTGTCTGTACGGACACACATTGAATAAGGCGCTGTTGACAGGAATTTTTCAGACTGGATCCCTTCTTATCGGTCTTCAGGTTTAAAGTTGAATATTCTGTTACTGTGCTTCTGTTATTCAAGTCTTCTCAAAGTAAATGTGACAGTGAAATAGCACCAGTTTGTTGTGATTCAACTCTGTTACATATACTCACACACAAAGGTAAGAATAATTTACTTAAACATATTTGTACTGTACAAAAGCATCTGACATGTACAATAAGACAAAATGATACCTGAAAACAACAAATGTACAATCCAGAGACATCTGGGCCAAGATGTGGGATTGTAAAACCACATGATAATATTAGTTCTGTTTGGACAGCACTGTTGTGTTACATACATTGCCCAAAGATTTCTTCTGAGCACCGATACTACTAGTTAAGTTAAGAGTCCCAGTCAGAATTCCAAATCACTGATTCATAATGCCTTCCATTTGGTATAAGTCACTATTGTGCGATTTTTTCATAGGTAGTCGGGTCATTTTCTGTTCCAGCTGAATTTATTTCAGTTCTTTTCTTGAGGAGGTGCAGTTTTGGGCTTTAGCCCCAATATGTGTAAAGTTTTTTGGATATTATAAAAAAAAAAAAAATGTTGTAGTGCAGTTGGGGTACTGTAGTCACTAGGTCAAGGTCAGTGACATCAGAGAACACATATACACACACACACTTGCTGCCTTTTCAAGGCTTGGAATCTTTCAGCATGTTTATGCGAGCGAAGACTTTGAGGGCGGGTCCTAGTTTAATATTCATGGCACTCATTAGGTGATCTTCCTTTAGTAGCAGCATGGCCTGTCCATCAATCTCCTGAGCACGAAACTCATCTGCAATCTCCTGGCAACCTAATTGTGAAGTCACAAAAAGTTGCACCATTAAACAGCATATTTTAAAATAAATTTGAAGTAATTTATTGTTGTAGAAAACCTGACTTTCATCATAACTTTCCATTTATCTTTTTTATCCCATCTTTATATTATATTGTAATATTTAATGACAGAATATCATATCAAGTGCATGCATGTGTATATACACTACTGTTCTAAAGATTAAAGGGGTCATATGATGCAATTTAATTTTTTCCTTTCTCTTTGGAGTGTTACAAGCTCTTGGTGCATAAAGAAGATCTGTAAAGTTGCAAAGACTAAACTCTCAAATCCAAAGAGATATTCTTTATAAAAGTTAAGAGTCAGCCACGCCTACCTAAAACAGCTTGTTCGAACACGCCCCCACATGTCTACCTCACTATGTGGGAAGATTTGCATAACGCCGCCCAAATGTTCACGCAAAGAAAGAAGGCGTAACTTGTATTCTCGCTGTAGTATTGTTGTTGCCGCTGCCGCATGTCGTGAAGGCGCTGTGTGCTTCGTTGTGAAAACGAAACTACTTTGTTTGGTCTTCCAAAAGAGGACGATATCGCTTCGTCATGCCCAGAGCTGATCTGTGCTGGTCGCTGAGGGAATACATCAACTTAGTGCTGTGGATCGCCGGATCGGCTTTCACCGCTCCTTCGTCGGATCCGCCGGGACCGCTGTTCTCGATCCCGCCGCCTCAGCTCACTCTTGCCCGGCCTCAGCTCACGCTAAGCCGGGGGTTTTCACTCACGCTATAGGCCGCTGTGTTTTTCGTTGTGAAAGCGAAACTACTTTGTTTGGTCTTCCAAAAGAGGACGATATCGCTTCGTCATGCCTAGAGCTGATCTGTGCTGGTCGCTGAGGGAATACATCAACTTAGTGCTGTGGATCACCGGCACATTTTATGGAGGACTGTTTACTGATCCTGGGAGAGTAACGTTAGACTAAAATGCCGGCAGTTCTGACTCACATAAGTACGTTTTCATTTAAAGGATTTGCCACTGATGATTCAAACGCGAGTTTTGAGCCGTGTAGAGTAGCACTTGTTGTTTGTCATTTCTCTGATCACAAATGCAGACATGGTTTTAGGTTTACGCGGCGTGATGCAATGCAATGCGTAAAACGACAGTATAAGTCATTATAATCAGTAATTATGTCCCCACTGGATGCAACAAATGCCTCGTTTGTAATGGGTTTTCATGTTTTTGTGTCGTTGCTCCGGCCGGGACACGGCATCAACACAGTATGGTGAGGGGCGTAACACTTCCGTCTCACGCTTGAGGTATTCAGCCAATCACAACGCACTGGATAGCTAGCCAATCAGAGCACACCTCGCTTTTTCAGACCGATGAGCTTTGTAAAAATCGACGCGTTTCAGAAGGCGAGGCATAGAGGAGAAACAATAATGTACAGTATGTGGAAAATAATGTGTTTAAACACATAAACACATTTCATTACACCAAATTCACAAAATAATGTTCTTTTTAGCAGCATCATATGACCCCTTTAAAAAAAAAAAACATTTATAAGGAGTCTCTCATGCTCACCAGGGCTGCATTTATTTGATTGAAAATACAGTAAAAACAGCAATATTGTGAAATATTATTACAGTTTAAAATAACTATTTTCTATGTTAATATATTTTAAAATGTAATTTGTTCTTGTGATGCAAAGCTGAATTTTCAGCATCATTACTCCAGTCTTCAGTGTCACATGATCCTTCAGAAATCATTCTAATATGCTGATTTGCTGGTCAAGAAACATTTCCTATCATTATGTTAAAAACAATTGTGCTGCTTAATTTATTTTTTATTTTTTTCATTTTTTCTTTGATGAACAGAAAGGCCCAAACAACAGCATTTATTTGAAACTAATTAACTTTTTTTACTGTCACTTTTAATAAATTGAATCCATCCTTGTCGGGAAAAAAAAGCATTCATTTCCTAAAGAAAAATCATACTGAGCCCAAACTTTTGAATACTTGGAATATAGTACAAAATATACATATACCCAAATGATATGAGCGACTTACCTGGCAAAGAGCGAATGAACTCAAACACCTCATGCACATTCCATTTGGTGGGGTCAATTGGCAGGAAGTGCTGACTGAGGAGAGGAAGCTCTTCGGGGTCGTTAGCAGCGAGCCCACCTTGAGAAACGATTGGGCCAGAACTGGCTGCAGAGAGCGGGGAAGTTGCTTCCTCATAGCTGGAGATATCCGAGCAGGGGCTGGACTCTCCTTGACTAGGCTGAGATTGGAGCGGTGAGGATATAGATTCTCCCTGAGATTGCTGAGGCACAGAGAGCCGCTGTGGGATAAAACAAGAGACTATATGAGGATGATTTACTTTATATATTTATACAAAAACATTGTGGGATGAACCACTAACACATTGTACTGAAGTAGCTGTTCACCTGCTTTTTGGCCTCCCTGCCTCTGGGACTATGAGACCTCCTCCTTCTCCACTGATTTATCTGATTGGTTGTTTTAGTTCTGTCGGGGTGGAACAGACCAACCCGCTTCGTGCAACTTACACTGTATCTGTTCAAGAGGGTTATACATTACAATACAGATCAAAATGTTGCACATCACATAAATATATTATTAGTTATCAGTTTGATAGCAGCTGAATGAATAAGTGTGTATTAGGGCTGGGCGATATAGCTAAAAAAATGTATCAACGATATAATGTTTCATATCGTTGGGTATCGATAATTATTGACATTTTTTATAACCTTTTTTAAAACAAAGAGCAATAGAAAAAAAACGTTTAAATTTAACCACTGTATTTTTAAATTAACCCAATTTATCGAGACAAACAACAAATATTTTTTTGTTTTAACGCTCAAACACAAAATAAAAATTAAACAAATATCTCATTTCTAATGTTTTATATGCAGATTAAATAGGTCTGAAGGAAACTTTTGTCTTGTCTCCCAAAGCCACAGGAGGGCGCAATGAGCAAAATAATGCAGCACATTAAATTGCCAATGCAAAGGAAATAACCATCTATAAAAAGAAAAACGTGCATTACATCTAAATTAACTCATATAAATCAAACATAATTTCGTAAATTGCATAAACAATTACGAACAAAACAGCATCATGTATTTATGCATTGCTTAATACAAAGAGCCAAATCGCCCATCACACAGATTGCATTTAAAAACATATGAGATGCAGTGAAATGGAATAAACCTCCACAAATTCATGACGCGTTTTGTTTAAACTGTTTTAACTTTGCATGGCTTTCTATACATCTCTTGTGTGAGACATGAGAGCAGCAGTCATATTTGTCTGTCTAAAAAATGCGCTGAATATGCGTTCTGTGTGAATCGCTCAAGAGGGTCTAGCTGCAGCCTTGCACTTGCACTCTCAGACTTGCACTCTCAGACTTGCATTCTCAGACACTTGCGTCAGGCTGATTACCGTCACTTGCAGCCTTTCATTTTTTTATTTTGTTCTATTTATTGATTACTTTTTGTTTGAATCGCTCAATATTTTACAACAGTAGCCAGGTGGTGAAGACAAGAAAAAAGAAACTAAATTACAATGTCACTTGCAATCGCCACTTGCACTCTCCGATACCTGCGACGTCACTTGCAATCGACACAAATGGTGCGTGTTGCCAATGGAGACAAGACGCTGTGGTGATTAAACGATTAAAACTAATTTAGTACTATAACATACAGGGTCCTACAAGAAAATGTACTATTTTTGCATTCAAATGCAAATGTTTATTTTAAATTCGACTAATCATTTTTTTTAATTCACAATCTCCTCATCACAGCCAGGCACAACACTCAATTCAGCATGTGTTCGTGTTTGTGTGTGCGGTCTGCTTCACTCATAGCACGTGCCTATATCGTGCACTATATCGAACATTTTTCCTATCGTTATTGAAGAGGGTGTACCGTCGATAAATATTGATACCGTTTAATCGCCCAGGCCTAGTGTGCATATATATATATATCTACAATGTAATTTTCTGGATTTTTTTTCTCATTTTGTCTCTCATAGTTGAGGTATACCTATGATGAAAATTACAGGCCTCTCTCATCTTTTTAAGTGGGAGAACTTGCACAATTTGTGGCTGACTAAATACTTTTTTGCCCCACTGTACATACATACATACATACATATATTAATCATGCATTTCTAGATATTTTCATTTTATGATTTTGAATCTCTAACCTTTTAGCACAGACCATGGAACAGAAGCGTTTTGAACGTTTGAACTTGTAGGCAAAATCGACCCATCCACAGAGCTCACATGTGAGCTTGGGCTCATCTGGCTCCTCCTGAGTCCTCGTGTCTGATGAAAAATGATCAAATGTTAAGTATTAAGTTACAGTTTATTTATGACTAGCTGAAACAGTGTTTGTGTGTAATCATTGGAATAGTGAGGCATTACTATGCTGCACCTTGATTTCACAAAGTTTCAATGGTAAAGTTCACAAACAGGAAATTCCATATCTTATCATCTCTTATCACTAATGCATAATGACGCTCCCTTGTTCATAACAATGCAGGTTTCCAATCTTTCAAAACTTGAAACCCTGACACTTAAAAAGGTCATGCATTTTAGAAAAACAGTATTTGTTTGAATCTGCTAAATGAAATGTCTACCTTGTTGTCCAGCCTCCTCCATGTCTGAGTTTGTGGCACTGAGGGAATTACTGCTGGCCGTTTTCTCTGGATCTGAGGGAAGCTGCGTGTCTGGTTTCTTGGGGCTGTCTGCCTGCACCGGTGGTCTCTCCACCTGACAATACAGTATACAAACGTAATGTCAGGCTGATTACTGGAATACTGCACAGGCCCTTGTGTTAGGTTGGAATAAGCAGATCAACAGACATTTGTAATCATTTGGATAAAAGTGTCTGCTAAATGACTAAATGTACATGTAAATGTAACGTAACAGACAATATTTTTTCTACAGTTTGTTGCAAATCATGTCAACTCACTAACCTACAATCAAATACATGATGTACAAAACAAATAAAAAGCCATTCATTAATAAATGAATAATAATAATACAATGATGATGATAATTATTACTGTAGCATTAAATTATTGTGAATAATAATAATAATTTTGGAACTACAATAATTGTTAACAACAATAACAATTATTATTATCATTGAATTAATTTTCAGTTTAAATTCGTATTACTTTTTATAATCCTTTGAAAGAATAATAATAATAATAATAATAAAAGTTTTATTGTTGTTGTTGTGTTGCATTAAAATGATTATGAATAATAATAATTTTAGAACAATAATTCTTATTAACAACGATACCAATTATTATTATTGAGTGAATTTCCCTGTTTAAATTTATATTAGTATTTATAATTATTTTTTTATAAATGACTAAACAAATAATAAAAATAAATGTATTATTGTTGATGTTGTATTATTATTAGATCAAATTTAACAATTATAATTAATACTAATTAATTATTATTAATAATAATTAATTAATAAATACTAATAATTATTATTTTGTTGTCGTTGTTGTTGTTACTGTTGTTATTATTATTATCTTAAAATTACTATTATAGATTATTCTAAAATAGTCCACTATTCTAAAAGTATTATTAATAGTAGTAGTAGTTTTATTACAACTCACAGGGAATGGCTCAGCTCCCTCCTGAATGACAAAACCCTCGATGACGTGCGTGAGGACGTGTGGCTTTACAATGGCTTGAGGTGGCTTGTTCTCGCCGTTTTGTGCCACACTTCCCGTCACAGCTGCCGGAGGCGCCTCGCTTGGGGCTTCCGAGGTCATGGTCGGTGTCACCGGTGCTCCCGTGGGGTCGCGCGCGGTCTCCACAGAGCCTGGCGGCGGCACAGAAACAAAGCGTCGGCTCATCACCATAGCAACCACAACAACATCGGCAGCACAAACATCAGCGGGGGGGGAACAGCTGCTGGAAATAAGACACAAACATTGCACTTATAAAGTTTACGAACGTTTAAGGAATAGTCCAGCTGGAAAACAAAACTGGAAAATTAGATCTCTTTAACCAGCCAAAGCTATATGTTTGATGTTTTTCGCCATAATTTACTCTCCCATGCCATTACAACCCATCAGCATTTTTAATCTGGACGCAATGATATTTGAGAGCAACATCTGAGGGGAAGATTATCAGCCAATAACGACAAACATATTCTGTTCCATAGACAAAAACGATCATATAACATCAGAATACTTAAACTATTGAAGTGGAGTAGGCTACTACTAAGGGTTTGTAATGGCATCCACCGTCACTGTATGGACAAGATGTCAAATGACAACCTTACTGAAGTTCATTGAAGAAAGGACATAACGACATGAGGGTGAGTAAATGATTTCATTTTGTGAGAACTATTGCTTTAAGAAACATCCCACCATCATTAGGCGTCTGAAACTTATATCACTTAAACAAGAATATATCTCTCCTGCTGTATTTTTACTGCGTTCAGTCTGCGCTGTTTAAACGGGCCATGTAGACACTACTGCGTCGCGTGTCGGGTCTAACGTTACACAGTTCAAAGACACGCGCCTAGAGACCGCTGCGCTTTTGTTTTAAGCCCCCTAACCAAAACTACTGCCTCCAAAACACAAGACTGTCAAGACATACTGTAGCTTACCGACAAAGCGCAATAAAAAGTCATTTCCCCCAGGGGCGCTCTTCAATTCCGTCTCAAAACACGGAGGGAGCCTCATTCCCACACGCCTGTTGCGATTATATTACTGACAGATTATCCAGACTCCGCCACGCGTGCGATTCTACACAACATGCAGTGTGCGCTGCTCCTTTTCTAGTGCTCCACTCCCACGCACCAGCGCTGCACATTCTGCCAGAGAGGCGGTTCGCTCTTTCCCTGGAAGCGGCAGGTCACATGACTCTGAAGACTAGCGGTTTAATGAATCTTTCACTGGCTGGTGGCAGCGGTTGTGTCTTCTATGCAGGCTATATTGGCATTTTCTAAAGGTAGGAAAGCACCATGGTCCAAATCCAGTTTGTCTGTTAAGTTACTGACAGATTAGGCAGCAAGGCTGCTAGTGCATTTTGCCGGGCAAGGAAGTCATGTGACTGGCCCAGAGTCAATTCTGGTCCATATTGCTGTATGTGGGAATTGCATGCCACCCCTCATCCTACTGCCTTCTCTTTTGGCAATTCTGGTTCACCGTGTGGGTGTCAAAAGCTTTGTATTTTAATGCAGCTGTGATTCTTTAAATGGGTCATATGATGCTGCTAAAAATATTTTTTTTTGTGTATTTGGTGTAATGAAATGTGTTTATGCGGTTTACAGTTAAAAAAACATTATTTTCCACACACTGTACATTATTGTTTGTCCTCTATGCCCCGTCGATTTTTACAAAGCTCATCGTTCTGAAAAGCGAGGTGTGCTCTGATTGGCCAGCTATCCAGTGCGTTGTGATTGGCAGAATACCTCAAGCGTGAGACGGAAATTTTACGCCCCTCACCATACTGTTGATGCCGTGTCCGGCTGTATGCACCAAGAACTTGTAACACTCCAAAGAGAAAGGAAAAAATGAAATCGCATCATATGACCCCTTTAATTCCTCAAGCGCCTGCAAGCTGCGTGGTATTTGATACAGTGCCCTCGGAAAATATTTGAACACTTAAGTTATACATACAATGTATGAATGTCATTGCATTAGATGAGAAAATACAAAACACACCAAAGTCAGTTTGAAGTCAAATAGCAGCACAAGCACACATTTCAAGCAAAACGCTGCACAAAAAGTGATCTGATGCATTGAAATGTATAACTTTTTATTCCAACTGTATTTTGTTTTACTGGTTAGTGTATTACACTCAGTCTTTATTGATCTCTCCAAAGTATACATTATAATAAAAAATATTTGTAGGATATCCACCTTTTTAATGAGCACGGAAGTCTAAATTAATTGATTGATTGTGTGTGTATGTATGTATGTATGTTTTGGTCTTGCACCTAGTAATTAATCATCATCTCTATCTTAAATTCTTGATGACTGCATTGTTTGATTATGAAACTATACTTGTAAACTTGCATATTTGGACTCTTTGGCCACTGTACCTTGCGTTTGAGATGTAGCGTTAACAGTGTCGATTTTGGATTGTTCAGGGGGGTCGGTGCCTTGGGTCGTAGTGGTTGGCTGTATATGTACTGGTGGACAAATCTCTCTTACCACCAAAGAGGTGGGCTTCTCCTTGTCATCCTGAGCAAGCCTTGAAGCCTAAATATTATAGAAGAAGTTAGTTGCTTCTGAACTTTATAAATTGGGCCTCATTCATGAAACTTGCCTAAATATATGAGTAAATTCAGAGTAATTTGCCCCAAGACAGAAATTCCATGCACACAAATGCTTCATAAACATCATATTTGATAGTTAAACATGCATATGTTAATGAAATTCAATCCTTCGTAAATAGGCCTTCGTAAATATGCTAATTGTGAACGCTCATTCACAATTAGCATAATCCCCGCCAATGAATTACAACTATGTAAATTACATGTCCAGAAAAGCAATTAAATATTCTGGACTCCCTTCTCAGGTTTGGCTCCAGTACATTGCATAAATGCAAAAAGACTAATAGGCCATAAGCCTAACAATAAATATTCAATTAACATGAGTCCACTAAACCATTTTTAGCCTGGCGCTCTTCTGAAAATGGCCAGTTGGGGGTATCTGAGAACACTTTGGTGGCACAGCATTTTTCCAAGCCCTTTGTTTGCTATGATTTGTAATATCCACAGCAGTAACGTATTACTAGGATCTAATTTTCAAGAATATTACTTTATATAAAAATGCAGTAACCAGCAATATTAGCTTCTGTATTGTTGTTCAGTCATTGTACAAGTAGGATAGATGGTCGGTGAAGTGTTTGTCCCGCCCCTCCGACATTGATTGGATGGCTAAAAAAATGTCAGTGACGAGCACTGTTTTACCCAAAGGTGAACAGTTTTCAATTCTCAGCTACAAAAAAAAGACAGGGCATACAAACTTGTGAAATATCAAACTGCAGTGTCTTTAGTTTGCCAAAAAATGAACACGTTACGCTTTATGCACCATTTACACGTGGTAGGAAGCAGGTTTACATTTCTTTTGTACCAACTAACATTTTGAAAATACGAACACTTTCATGAATTCGAAAGTTTATGTCAGAACGGCTTTACTAAAGATTTACACAAAAATTTGTCCTGCTCTTGTTTCATGAATGAGGCACATTATCTTTAATCTACAATCTGACTCTAGTAAGTGAGTCCCTTACCTGGCGTTGTGCTGGTTGGATTTGGAGATTGATGGCTGTCAGTTGGACCGGTTGAGCTTTAGCATGGGCCAGGCCTGTGTGTGAGCCGTGCTGACTGAGTGCATGGTGGCTTACAGTTGAATGGAAGATAGTGGCCTGTTGATTTTGAGCCGATCCCTGGTTGTGAAGTGCTGGTTTAGGCAAAACCGGAATGATCCCTGCTACCGATGAGGTCTGGGCAGAGCTCTGGATGGCCAGTGAGGCTGTCTGTTGGTGGGGCTGGACCGAGACGGTTTGCAGTAACTGAGACTGGGTTCTTGAGGTGGGTGGGGCTTGGGGTTGAATGACAAACTGTTGTGGTTGCTGCTTAATAAGGGCCTGCGGCTGGATTTGGGCATACGCTGGAAGGAGAAACCACAGACAAACACTTACTATTACATACACATACTGTTTCACATGATTAGACATTAAACTGACAGTTCCAAATTTAAACGACAGTAAAATTTACATGGAATTTCATACATTTGGACAATGTTTTTTTTTTTTTAAAGATGGCATAGGTAAGCTCCTAAACTGCACAGTTTTCCCTCGGTCATGGGAATATTAAAATTGTGTTTTCTAAAAAACTGTTTCTTTAAACGTTATTATCAGTATGCTCTTGTTTTTAATTAAATAATGCTCTTGTTAAACTGACTGTCACAATCTGTGATGGCGAGGAATGATGGAGACAAGGAATAAACGAAACCCAAGAAACACAGGGTACATCCAACACTGGGAACGGCAGGAAACACATGAACATAACAAGTAGAACCGACAGAGACAGACTGCACAGACTAGGACTTAAATACAGGGGATGATTGGGGAAACACAGGTGTATGGGATGACTAATCAAACTAAGTAACAAAACGAGGACAGGAACATGACCAAATAAGGGAACAGAAACAGGGGCAAAACATGACACAGACAGTCCATGATCCTGACATTACGCCCCCTCCCGGAAGGTGCATCCTCGCACCGTAGCAACAACAGAGGGAGGCGTGGGTGGGAACTTGGGAGGAGGTTCCGGAGGAGGATGGACACACGGGAGGGGGCCGACAGACAGAGACCAGGGAGGTGACAAAGGAGGGAGGAGCCAGGGAGGAGACACGAGGGGCCTTGAGCAGGAGGAGCAAAGCAGGACCCAGGCCACAGCCATAATGTCGACCCATGGTTGGTCGGCCCCCTGGAGTCGGTGGCCATTCCTCCTCCCTCCGTCGGCAGAGCAGGTGGTGGAGGAGCCCGAGGCGGCGATCCGCAGCGGAGACGGAGCGACTGAGGACTAAGGTGGAGCTGGTGGGAGGGCGGGCATTTGTGCGTCTCCGGGCATTCAGGGCTTAACTCTGGATCAGAAGCCCCCTCTGGGCTGAACACGGAAACAGGATGGCGCTCAGGAGGAGCGGACACTTGAGGGCGCTTACGAGGAGCTGGCACTGGAGGGCGCTTTCTAGGAGCGGGCACTGGAGGGCGGTCTGGACTGGATTCGGGGACTGGAGCCCTCTCCTCTTTGCGTTGGCACTTTCGCCGCGCCATACTCAGCTCACCCTCAGCCGTGGTGCAGGGGGCAGAGCTCCTCTCCGCGCTCACACCGTCCTCGGCTTTCTCCCTCGTGGCGGGCATTGTCGCCAGCTCTCGCACCTGGTCTGACGGCTTGGGCTCTCCTTCTGGGCGATCCTCCGCTTAGTCGTTCGGCATTGCGCTGGCTCGTAGATTGCGGCGGGAACTGGCTCTCCGTCATCGGTGAACTCAGGCTTTAGCTTCGCACAGTGGGGAGATGGTGGGCTGGGCTCTGGGTCGGGAGTGGTACTTTTCCCGCCAGTATCCACTCCACAAAGGCGGTGAAATCTACTCGAGGACCATCTTCGGACAACGGCGCTCTGCACTCGATGTTTAGACTGGCGTCGTAGAATGCACGGAGCGCGTCGTCTGGGTAGCTGGTGGTAATTGCTAACAGCTGGAACAGTCTTGTATGGTCCTTGAACGATCTCTCCCCCTGCTCCCGCAGGAGGAGGAGAACTTCCGGGTGAAGGAGGGCATCCATGAGGGAAACACAATGGAAACAAAAACACTGAGAAAATCGAGGAAACAAACGAAGGGGAAAACACGGTGGTAACTGTTATTGGTCGGTTCTTCTGTCACAATCTGTGATGGCGAGGAACGATGGAGACGAGGAATAAACGAAACAGTCTTTAATCCAAGAAACACAGGGTACATCCAACACTGGGAATGGCAGGAAATACATAAACATAACAAGTAGAACGGACAGAGACAGACTGCACAGACTAGGACTTAAATACAGGGGATGATTGGGGAAACACAAGTGTATGGGATGACTAATCAAACTAATTAACAAAACGAGGACAGGGACATGACCAAATAAGGGAACAGAAACAGGGGCAAAACATGACATACAGTCCATGATCCTGACACTGACATTGCAAGCCATAAGTTAATTCTGATTTGTAAGCAAATTCATTTAGTCAATGAATCCATTTCGAACCAGTTCACAAATCCATCTGATTGATTCAGTAGTGAATCAGTCTGAATATAAATGATTCTTTAAAATAGTTATCCAGGAAATCATAAACATCTGGAATGTACATGGAAAAGTCATTGCAATTCCTTGAGTCCAATGTGTTGTCACCTTGATTATATCTCAATACATTTTTTTTGAAAAAATGTATTTTATTTTGTTGTTGAGTTTGTCCTTTTTGCTCTATCTAATAACATTCGACTCTGTGCTTGGGTTTTCCAGTACAAATTCTGTATCCAGGACTACGACATTAGAAACTGGATGAGTTTTAAAACTATGTTTGACTGGAGGACTTGCAGGAAAGTGTGTTAAAATTTAATATTAACTCAGCAGGAGAACATTCAAACACAAAACCTTGTGGGTTGGGCATGTTGAGATCACAACCTCAAAAGTTTATGAGCGGTAAAAGAATCTGAAGAACTCCAACTGGCTGGAAAGTTAGCTAGCGTGTGGTTTTTATGTTTATATATATACGTGTGTGTGTGTTCTGTCACATGAAATGAACACCGGATATGGGAAGCAGACGTCAGGAACAAATACAGTCTTAATAGCAAACAGAAAAGGTTCAGTGTGGGAATGTTCTTCCATCTAATGTGAATGGTGTGGGATGGTGTGTTCAGATGACTCAATCCTCTGTGCTCACTTTCTCTCACTCTTTCTTTCTCCCGGATGTTCAGAATAAGGAGTTGATGAGTTATTCCCTGCAGAGCGCAACCCTGGAAAACCCCGAAATTTCCTGCCGAACGTTCAGCTATATGCAAAGCCACAACACATAACACATTAAAACAATTACATATGCTTGAAGACATACAATATCTATTTTTTCTCACATGATAGGCCAAATCTAATATGTTTCTTGTGAATAGAGACACACTTTTCCTCAGATAAAGATCCCAGATAAAGACCTGAGATAAAAGACCTGCGTCTCCTCTAGGGTTTTCGAAGAGATCAGTGTCTCAAACTGTGCTCAGTTTCCTGAGCCATGAGAAGCAATTTTTGAGCAAGATTTTCCTGTGTGGGGGCATTTTCTCTACAATAAGTAATGTCATTTTCACTTTAGTAGTTTGAGTGCAGTACAATATTTGGTATGTTAATATCTGGCTCTTTTCTTTCCTACTTTCTTTTAACAAGCCCTCTAGTGTGTGGTTGTATTCAATAGAATGGTTTCAATTATTTGATACAAACAAAAGTATCAAAATAGAGAATACATTCAACTTCAAAACAAGCAATTTTTACAGGTTTTGGCTTGAAGACATACAATATCTTTCTCACATGATAGGCCAAATCTAATATGTTTCTTGTGAATAGAGACACACTTTTCCTCAGATAAAGATCCCAGATAAAGACCTGAGATAAAAGACCTGCGTCTCCTCTAGGGTTTTCGAAGAGATCAGTGTCTCAAACTGTGCTCAGTTTCCTGAGCCATGAGAAGCAATTTTTGAGCAAGATTTTCCTGTGTGGGGGCATTTTCTCTACAATAAGTAATGTCATTTTCACTTTAGTAGTTTGAGTGCAGTACAATATTTGGTATGTTAATATCTGGCTCTTTTCTTTCCTACTTTCTTTTAACAAGCCCTCTAGTGTGTGGTTGTATTCAATAGAATGGTTTCAATTATTTGATACAAACAAAAGTATCAAAATAGAGAATACATTCAACTTCAAAACAAGCAATTTTTACAGGTTTTGACTTTGCCAGTTCCTACAAAACAAAAGCGAGGAGTGAAATCTGACAGTCAGTTGGGAATCATATTCTAAAGAGATGTATAAGCAATTAGTTAGATTTTTTAGAGCAAAATCTCCAGTCCAGTCTCTTTCCAGTATCCACATTCACATAATTTTTAATCTAATATTCAGATTTTTATAACATTTTGGACATTTCTTAAAAGCAAACTGAACGATTCATCTAAGAGAATAATCCAGGATGAGTTTCTGTGAATATCGTTAATGCTCAAGGGGAAAACCGTGAATCATAACACGCATCACATCAACTCTCTGGAGCACACTGCTATGGAAACTACATCCCAACACACATGTAAGGTTTTTACCCTTCCTCTCCACTGAGGCTCACTTGGACCCTCTCAAACACACTTGTTCAATCAAGTTCAAGCTTGTTTAATCTTCATTCATTCTGGTTATTTGTGTGCATAAACAGTGGCATAAACCTTAGACCTGCAAACGATCACTGACATGGTATAATGTGAAAGAAATGCAGCTCTCTAATGAGAAACTGAAATGAATCGAGTTGACGTTAATGTGTCATTACACATGACCTCTTTTAAATAGCCAGTAGCCATTAGTCACAGCCATCAATATTTATGAATAGTTTTATTCCAGAATTCTTATTTTCTGGAATGAAAGCTTTTTTTTTTTGTGCCACTTTTTCTTTCTTTCTGGGAACGGATGTGAAAATGTATTTTGCATTAGTATTTTTAAGGTTTTATTAAAAAAAATTATGGCCTGGATTTAATTTGGTCACACAATACTCCACAAAAGGCCTATTTTTACTTCTTTTGGCACTTGACTGGTGCTAATATTAGACTCTGGAGCTACCCTAAGATACTTATTTTTTGTAAACAAAAATCTGAGGCCTTTTTTAGTCTTCTACCAAAGCACAACTAAACACATAGCAAAGTCTCTACCGGCCTTGACACGCCCAAGTACCTGCTTCTAAATGTGCAGGATAATTGCCCTGTTTGAGCTGTTATGATTAGAGACCAGAGGAATGATGGATGGCGTGTATGTCAGATGTTGACAGGCACTGAAAGACTTATTTGAAAAAGTGTGTGCCCTTCAAATGCCACGTATGCTTTAATGCACTTGAGCATAAGCCATGTAGAACAAATTTAGCCTTGGGTACATTTCTCCTTTCTTTGGTACTTCTTTTCTGGAATGCGAAAGCTTTTTTTTTTGTGCCATTTTTTCTTTCTTTCTGGGAACGGATGTTAAAATGTATTTTGCATTAGTATTTTTAAGGTTTTATTAAAAAAAATTATGGCCTGGATTTAATTTGGTCACACAATACTCCACAAAAGGCCTATTTTTACTTCTTTTGGCACTTGACTGGTGCTAATATTAGACTCTAGAGCTACCCTAAGATACTTATTTTTTGTAAACAAAAATCTGAGGCCTTTTTTAGTCTTCTACCAAAGCACAACTAAACACATAGCAAAGTCTCTACCGGCCTTGACACGCCCAAGTACCTGCTTCTAAATGTGCAGGATAATTGCCCTGTTTGAGCTGTTATGATTAGAGACCAGAGGAATGATGGATGGCGTGTATGTCAGATGTTGACAGGCACTGAAAGACTTATTTGAAAAAGTGTGTGCCCTTCAAATGCCACGTATGCTTTAATGCACTTGAGCATAAGCCATGTAGAACAAATTTAGCCTTGGGTGCATTTCTCCTTTCTTTGGTACTTAGTGTGTGATGTGATGGACAGACAAGTGAAGCTGGATCTTATTAGAGTGCATACTGTATGTCAGAAAGCATTTCTGTTGAAGTGAATTGAACCTTTCGGTTTGTTTAAAGACCAAATGTGCGCGCACAACATTTTCTGGACCACGTCTGGCAAAAGGTGCTTGATGGCAACATTACTGGCTCAAATGTTAACCGACTCTCCATCATACTTGGGTTGATCTAGAATGATCTAGAAAGTGTTCACATGAGCCAACGAATGCTCATGCAGCATCAACCATCATAAATATAGCAGTTTTAATTATCAGGATCCGCTGGTTAATAATAAAAGCAGATAATATTAGGATTCTTTTTTCAGTTAAAGGGGTCATATGATAATATTTAAATTTTTCCTTTCTCTTTGAAGTGTTACAAGCTCTTGGTGCATAAAGAAGATCTGTAAAGTTGCAAAGACTAAAGTCTCAAATCCCAAGAGATATTCTTTATAAAAGTTAAGAGTCAACCATGCCTACCTAAAATGGCTCGTTCTAACACGCCCCACATGTCTATGTCACGATGTGGGACGATTTGCATAACGACCGCCCAAATGTTCACGCAAAGAAAGAAGGCGTAACTTTTATTCTCGCTGTAGTATTGTTGCTGCCGCCATGTTGTGAAGGCGCTGAATGTTTCATTGTGAAAGCGAAACTACTTTGTTTGGCCTTCCAAAAGAGGACATGACTAGAAATCAGTGGTTAAGTTATATTTACAACACTGTTCCAGAACAGTTCAACCCAAATATTCAGATGTGTGCAGCACATTTTATGGAGGACTGTTTCCTGATCCTGGGAGAGTAGACTACAATGCCGGCTGTTCTGACTCACAGACTGTAAGTAAGTTTTTTATATTTAAAGGATTTGCCACTGACGATTCAAATGAGAGTTTTGAGCAGTGTAGAGTAGCACTTGTTGTTTGTCATTTCTCCGATCAGAAATGCAGACGTGGTTTTATGTTTACGCGACGCGATGCAACGCAACGAGTAAAAAGACAGTATAAATCATTGTAATCAGTAATTATGTCCCCACTGGATGCTACAAATGCCTAGTTTATAATGGGTTTTAATGTTTTTGTCTCGTCGCTCTGGCCGGACACGGCATCACAGGGTTGTGACAGGGCTTGAGGTATTCGGCCAATCACAACGCACTGGATAGCTGGCCAATCACAGCACACCTTGCTTTTCAGACCGATGAGCTTTGTAAAAATCAAAGTGTACACCAAATAACGTTCTTTTTAGCAACATCATATGACCCCTTTAAAAAATTTACTATTAGGTAACTAATAAACTACTAATTACCAGAAGCAATTTAATACCAAAGTATTAAATATCAGCCCTTTTCTGTAGTACATTTGGATGCATAAATTGATAGGCCAGCAGCAGTTACTGGCTATAACATAAAAATAATTGGAATCATCACTATTGATCAAACAGCTTATCCCTAGAAAAATTGTGGTACCACTTTACTTAAAGCCTTTATGTATAACACATTATAAAGGTATTTATAATGTACATTGTAATGCATTATATCTTTTTTTATAAATAATTGTAACCAAAGGTAAAATGCATTATAATATTTGAAGGTTTGTTCGTCATGAGTTATAATGCATTATACTTTCTACAGGTTTAACAGTCAGTAGATTAGTTAGTATTATAATGTATTATAACATACCATGCGTTATAAGGTGCATTACAATGCATAATAAATACATTAAAACTACTCTTATGATGCATTACACATAAAGGCTTTAAGTAAAGCAAAATTATTATAGTTCACTAAGAAGGTATATGGAGTGCTATTGTACCCCCTAATTTTAACCTCTTAGTTGGATGAATTCAAGTAAATCGTGCCACTAGATTGACTGATATGGCCTTTTTATGACTGATGTAATACACATTTTATGTCTGAATAACCAATATGCAGAACCATTTATAATTGTTGCATCATTTCTTCCTTTTGACACTGTAATAACTATGTGATCATTAGACTACAACAGTAAAAACATGCATTATGCATATCTTTATTAATTATTAGAACTATTGTTGTTTACACCATTATATTTACATTTAGTCATTTAGCAGATCATTATTATTTATTTATGCAATAAATGTAAAATAGTTGCAAATTATTTTCATTTTGGACTGTTTTATTGTGTACGTTGAAAAAGTTTGGAGTAATTATCTAGACAGTACATTTAACGTTACTTTAAAAACACAGTAAAATGATGTTCACACCAATTATCAGTGGCCTAATATAGCTGAATTCATCCTACTTATTTCTGGCATTTAGCAAAAAGCAATGACTGATTAAAAGTGTGTATTTCACTCCTTAAATATACATAAAATATGGAAAGCAACCTCACAAACATGAAACATTCTTGTGTTTTTGGCTATACAGGTATGCTCACCATCTGTGCTCGCAGGTACATTTGAGCTTGGCTGGCTGTCAGGGTGGAGCTTGAGGCGTTGCCTAGCAACACAGCTTGCTGAGAGATCCCAGAGGGGGTGGAGTTTACACTCTGGGCACGACTGATCAGCTGAGCAGCGGCAGGGGATGTGGTTAAATTAATCTGAGAGACAAGAGTTGTGACATGAGCAGCCTGAATGTTATGTCACATGCAAACAAAGATATTGACGTGATTATGTGATTATGCTTGTTTTTAGAGGCTGCTTCCAAATAAAAGCTTACTGTGGTCTGCGATGGCCCGCTCTGCGTAGATGAGGTCCCATTCTGGTTTTGTCTGCCGGCTGCTAAACTGGCCTAGGAGGGAGAAACATGACAGAGAGAGTAAGAGTATATTTAGGAGTTTTATGCTTGCTGTAGGAGACTATGGATGCCAACTGACCTGCTGCACTGCTGCAAGGCTCTGCAGCTGCGCTGTGCTGAGGTGCTGCTGCTGTAGAGCTGCCGTTTGCAGCATCAGATGCTGCTGTTGAGCTGCATACATCTGCTGCAGGTACTGCGCCGCTGTGCTGGGCTGCCTGTGTAGAGCCTGCTGGATCACCTACCATTCAAGAGAGATCAGGAAAAGTGAGAAACCTGATTCGATCTCACTATTTTCTTGCTTCACGTATAGAGAGCGATGAGATTAGATGGAGTGCAAATGGAGACTTTAGCTGAAGTTGCCAGATTCTAAAGGTTTTTGTTGTTGTTGTTTTGGTAATCTCAGGTCTACTCCAAAGTTTCAATCTCAGTAGTGTCTCAAACTCTGCTCATATTTGCCAAGATACCTATCAAAGTCAGAGATTTCAATATAAATGTGGAGACATGTCTGCATTTATTATAGCTCTGTACCTTTGCTGTATGTCAACCATTGTCTCAGGTATTTCTATTGTATTCACCATTGATAAAAAATGTGTGACAAAGTTGATATTTAAAACATAAGTAGCTGCAAGTTGCAAGCTGTGATTCAAGGTGGTGTCGAATGTTTGTTATAGGTCAGATTACAATCCTAATATTTTAATGTTTACTTGGCAATTTTTTGTTTCATCACACATAGTCTCAATAATATGCATCTGTCTCCTCCTTTTGGTCTGAAAATGAACTGCAACAAGAAAAAGAAGCGGATCTCTGATTCTTCTGTTGTATTTCATTCCCCATATTGCTTTCAAGGTCAGCCTTGATGTTTAACATGGTTTTATTATCATAATATTAATATTAATTTAATAGGAAGATGTTTAATATTAGCCACTGTATTACAAGGCTTCTTTATGCACATATGCCACTGCAAGTCTATAACGAATAAGAACAACAACGCATTGACACTGTATAGGATAACAGTTACATTTTATGATATTTTTGTTTAATGACAACCAAATAGATACTTAAACATCCAATATAAAAATATTTTTTTGTATTGTCATACTCTAATAATAATGTTATTTAATAAAGATTGCAAACCTTGTGGACAAGGAATGAGAACCTACCTAGATTAACAGTTGCTAATGATTCTGAGCTAGCATGCCATAATATGACAAAAACATTCAGAACAATATCAAAACAAGATGCCAAAATACCTGAACAAGAGCAGACGTTCAAAATACATGTTCTGTATATGATGACAGTGTAGATAAGTGCATCGCTCTCATCACTAATGATACCTTCCTATCTTTTTCTCCCAGCTATAATATGTTCTCCGTCATCCTGCACTTCCTTTATCTCCTCACTGAACTGCCCACAACCGCACAGTTGCTAGGCAACAGGATTCCTGACCCCTGGTCTTGGTGTGAGTAGAGTGCAGCCTGAACTGAGTTTAATGAGCAGTGCTGCTTTATTTAGAAAATAAAGACATTTACTCATAAATGTACTACTATTACTGTGTTTAAATAGGATAAAAGATTATTAATATTACATTCGGCTGAAATCTAGCAACAGCGTCTAATTCCCAGCCTCTTAATTTATTAGTAGGGAGAGGTCAAAGGTCAACCCTTGAGTCAATAATAAACAATAACTCCACAACAGAGGAAAAAATATGAACATGAAGCATGGAAATCATTGTCTTTCCCCTTCTGACTGCAGTAATAAACACACCAGCAGATGGCAGTATGGATTAAAAGTCCAATAATTAAACATTTAAGCAATAAAAAAGTGATGTGTGGTGCAATGCAGTGAGTGATTATACAAGAAAGTTTGACAAGAAAGATGTGATGAATCGTAAATATTATCAACACAATTCCTATGCATTTCTGAACTCCGTTGTCTATATTTGAAGTGATGGTAATGTTTTAGGGTGAGTGTGACGCGCACCTGTACAGTCTGTCGGTCAGGTATGCCGCTGTATACAGATATCTGTGGAACGGCCGCTCTTCCACTGCTTGTGCTGCTGCTGCTGGAGCTGACAGTGCTGGCAATGGAGGTGCCTGTGGAGTTTGTGGTGGAGGTACTGGTGCCTGTACTGCTGCTGGCACTGGAGGCAGGAGTGCTCTGCTCGCCCTCCATTGTGCCGCCCCGATGCCTCACCTTTGAACCACGACCGCCCCGCTGCCACACTCGACGCAAGCTGAGACAGACAGAGAATAAGAATTGGTCAATTCCAGTTACTAAAATTGCCTTCTTTTGTTGAGATCGTCGAGACACTGAAACAATTTCTAGCAGGTAGTTATGAAATTTGATGTGTTAACAAAAAGAGTACCATAGTACTATCATGTTATTTACACAGTACCAAGGTAATGCTGTGTTTTTGAATATGTACCATGGTAGTTATGGCTGCATGATTTGGCAGTTATATTTTTTTATTACAAATTCAATAGCAATTGAAAATGCAATTAATTATTTATATATTTATTTTTTACTGTGCTGCACAATTTGGCCAGAATTTAGTGATTATATATCAATATGGCTATTAAAATTAATAATGGTAAAAAATTATAACTATATATATATATATTTATTTTTTTATTTTTTATTTTTTTATTAAATCAAGGCCTTGAAAATCACAATAAGCCATATCAGGGTTTCTGTTTTATTTTCGATTTATTGTGCAACCCTAATGGTAGTACCATAGTGTTCTTTGAAATACGTTGAATTATCTTGTAAATACCATGATATATATCTGTATTTGGTAAATAGCAAAGTATCATGGTATTACCATTTGATACCATCACAGTACTTTTTATAAAGTTAATATACAAAAGAAAGGTCTGAGCTGGTAGCCTAAGATGTAAGCATCATTTCATTGGCATACAGTACTTTTCTGGAAATGACATTATAATTGCATTTGAGTTCATCCCCGGACACTGAATTTGAGTGTTACATTTCAGTAAACCGTTTTTCTCAGCAGTCTCCAGTTACCGGCACATGAACGACCATGGAAGATGGATCACACATCCAGTCTGAAGAGTTTCCCATGTCAATATGCGATACAGAACCACGCTAAAGGTTGTCAAACAATACTTGCATCAACAAAACTTTACTTTTTTTGGTTCAGTCTGCTTTTATACAGAGTGATTAAATAAATTATATTGGTCAAGCTTTTTCAGCATGCTCTTGATTACCACAGACAATAATTTCAACTTTTAATTCTATTTACAGTAATGCACTTATCGATTGGGCCAAGGGAATTGCACATTTGCTTATTTATCTCTCTTTATAATAATATATATACAGTATATACACATAATATATAATTTAGGGTCAGTAATTTT